CCCTCCAGGAAAGCCCGGGCATCCCGAGCGATCTCTGCCATGTGTCCCACGTAGGGTCGCTTTCTCTAGATTTGCAGAACTTCTTGTTCCCCTGAGTTTCCGTATAAACTAGCCTCCCTGCTAAAACTTGTCTACATCATTTTGCCAAGAGTAGAGGTTATTTGCTTTGATTGCAATAGCTTCTAAAATGCAGAATTTTTACCTGTCCGGTCCCTCAGTGCCATCTGTGAACGTTCTCTTGAGGAGCAAAAGATCTTGTATATGCAGGCTGTGTTACATTAATAAAGGGTCCCAATCTGTTTCTCTGCATGAAGACCTATAGAAAATGTGCCTTACCTGAGCCACTGTAGAAGTGCAGTATACTTAGAGACTGTTTCATGTCCATGGTTGTTACGCAAGTGTGGTGGTAATTGCTTTGTGCCTCTGGTGAGGTTCATGGAAATATGCCCTAGCTTGCAGCTTGGCCCCTACTCAGCTGTTCTCCTCTTCCTGCTGGTAGCCTGCTCGGAACCCTGCTCGGGCTTCAGCCTTAGGCAGCAACTTACAGCACGTTGCTGTTGTCTGCGTTACGGTAGTCAAATATGTGTGGTCTTAAGTAGAAGTTTTTCCTTAAATGTATTATTGTATCTGCATTTATTTTGGAATGCAAAAAAACTTGGCTGTACTTAGAAGGTGGCCTATGCTTTCCACAGCATCCCGCCTTATGTTCCTCTCTGTTCTAAGCAGTGCATGGTTTTCTGCATAGCACTCGGCATAAGCAACTGTTTCTCCACACCTGTGCTCTTTGTCTCCTTATCCCCTGTCCTGTCCGTATCTTCTCTCCTTATCCTGTATGTTGGCCCTGTACAGTGCAGGTCCTGGATTCCACTGAATTTCTGCATCCTGGGGAGCAGACACTAGAGAGCAGGAATAAATTGCATAGGAGTAAATTGCTGCTGGTAGGCTGGCTGGTACTTTTTTTACCTCTTGGTGAAGCAGCGACATCTGACAGTTGGACCATGAATAAAACACCCTGTTCGATGTTAGATGAAGTATGTTTGGGGTTTTTTCCAAACAGTTTTTCTGAAAGAAAACTTCTGTTGTGGTATTTGAGCTCTGAGGAGCTGCCAGCTCTGTGCCAGCGTGGAAGGGCATGTGGGGCTGGCTATCTGCAGACACTGCGGCAGGATCCAAACTTACCCATTGCACTGCAGTGGAAAAGAGGTGCAAAGTGCAAGTGCTTCTCACTCACTTGTCTTTTTAGGTTGATGAATGTTGTGACCTTGGAAGAACTGCCTTTTGGGTCATCCTGGTTATTGGCACAAGCTAGGAGGTGCAAGTATTTTTTGATCTGTTGGGTACTGTATTCTTGTGGGGACATGGGCAGAATCCGATAGGGAGGGGTGGTTAGGGGGATTTGGCATTGGTTATTGTGTAACTTGTCACAACTTGCTTGTAGAGCCATTTTATTGGTAGTTGATCTGGGCATCATCTGTTACTTCTGGTTTATGGGGTAATTGTTTCTGGTTGTTTCCTTTAGTACCATATGTGTTGTTACCACCTATATAGGTTTGAAACAAGAGACATAAACCTATGGCCTGCCCTCTGTTGTACAGAAGATGTGGAAATATCTTTAGGGTAGCTTTAGCATTCTATTTTGATTGTGAATTTGTGAAGCCTTTGCATTACCTTAGAGGCATCTTGTGTTAAAAGAAAAGTTTAATATTAAAGTCTGACCCTTTTCAGAATGGTGAAATGATTTGCTATAACTGGCTTTTCATGCGTGCTGGAAGCATTAGCTCACGGAGTGAATTTTTTGTGTGTGTGTATATATATGTGTGTGTGTGTATATAAAAGATAATGTCTGATTGAAGTTTAAGTAATACAGCAATGGCTACAGCAGACTGTACTCTATGGTCCCTGTCCTAATAGCACTATCTTCGGCAGAGGCTAAGCTTGAGCATGATTTGTTAGTGTTTTATGTCTTCAGATAGAGTAGTGCTCTCCTTAATGAGGAAGATAGGAAATTACTTCTATTGATCCAGTTTATTCTTCAGCTTTTCATTACACTTGTGTACAAGATTTAGAAATCAATCAGATCAGGTTTATGTGCTTAACTTCCATGAACTGTGATATCCTTGTCTGTAGTTTTCACTACATTTTTTTTGAATCCTGATTCAGGACTTGAAGATAGATTGCTCCTAAGTTGTTCAGCTGCAAAAGGTTTTTGCTGAGCTATTGCTTTTGGTCTGCCAGACTTACGTTGAGGAGACGAATCAAATGAGCTCTGCCCCTGCTAGTGTGTCTGCATTTCTTTTTATATTGGGAAACAATAACTTCACATATTAAACAGAAAAGGCCACTGGAAAGTCTGGTAAGAGAGGAAGGAAAAAGGTATTTTTTAGGATTCATTGCAGTTCAGTAAAAGAAGAGAAAAAGCAACATAGTGCTCAAAAGGAAGAGAGTTTGTTTAAAAAATAAAATATCCGATTTTATAATAATATTTATTCTTTGTGTGGAAAAATAAAATATGAACTAAATCATGCCAATGATATGATTCATCTGGTTCTTTTTTCTTCCTCATTTCATGTGGGCAGCTTCCAGTAATGTTAGTGGAAATTATGATGTATGATGAATAATTTTACTTTAAAAGTAATCCCACTTTACTGCTGGGATCACTGGGGTCTTACGGGGACACAGCACTGTACCTGTGCACTACTAGCAGATTAGGGAATATCCTATTTTTGAACGTAGCAGTGCTTTTTGGTCAGATGAAAGTATTTTATTGAGGAACAACATAGTTAAGAGGGAAGTGTGGTGACATTTTTGCACTTTGAGTGCAGTCAGTGGACTCTGTGTCAGATCTTACCTCTGCAGATCATGGATGGACCCTCCTCCTTCCCCCCACCTCTCATTGCTCTCAGTTTACCAGACTTAGAATTTTTTTTTTTTTTTTTAAATGTAGTGAGTGACACCCTCTAAAAATGAAGGGAATACAAAAATGTGTTGTCATGTTGAAAACATACAAATGCTGACGAATTATTTTAATCTATTTGCTTCTATCTCCTCAGCCTTATAATTGTCTAATTAAATAATTTTTAATAACAATTTTGCATGGTTGAGACAACTTTTGGACTGATAGAGATCTTAAATATACTTTTGCTGAAGAAAAACCAGCAATTTCATATCCTAGTTCTTTCTGAAGTTAAATTAATGTAATTGAAATTCAGCTTTTGCACAGGTATAGAATTATGGGGTTTTACTTTTCCGTGGTGGACCCTTAAAATATTTTCTGGTACGGTTGCAGAGGCCTGTGTAATGCATTTACCCCTGCTAACAGCAGAGCTGCTTAACTGCTTTTGTGGATCTCTTAGAAATTGCTCAGTGATCCCCTGGGTCTGTGGATCAGTGATTGAAAATCACCAGGATCCAGAGGAGTTCAGGCTCACAGACCATTAGTCAGCATCTGTGTGTAATGAAAAAGCATTAAATAAGGTATCTTTCCTTCTTAATGTAATTTCCATAGGTTTGACTTAGCTGCATAGGTGCTGGATGTGTTTTTACATAGCATTTCCATGAGAATTTATGGTGCCTCTCATAATATCTAGGGCACGCTGTGGATTCCCAGTTTTGTTTTTTAGCTGTCGGGAATCAGTTGCGAGGTGAACACTGGGCTCCAGATGGAGCTGGGTCCGTATGCCTTGTTTTGCCTGGGGGGTTCTGGCAATTCCATCTCGATGGTTATGATTAATCATAAATCTATTTTGCATTTGTTCTTCTGAGTTATTTTCTCAGAGAAGTCCATGCACTTTAGTTGGTGTGACCACAAAGCCATGTCTGATTTATCTGAATGTTTTATATTAAACTGGGTGCTATTTTCTGTGAACTGCTAAGAAGTACTGTGCCAACATATGGTTAATTAACCAGTTGTATTGCTTATATCTGATTTGAAAATCAGTACTGGTTTTCTTACTAAGTAGGGCTTACAGCTACAGATTATTTAAATAACTCTTAGATGTTACAATAAGATTAAGTACCAGCACTGTCTATTGTGACTTAAAATTATTTTTTTAAAGAAAATTTAATATAAATAGAAATAAAATTTGATTAACTTAATAAAAATTGGATTCCTGCCTTTATTGCTGTTTCTGCCTGAGTTCCTGCCTTAATTTTTTTTTTTTTTAAACTTAAATTGCATAACTCCTTACTTCATATCCATAATGCTATCTTAAGGCCCTTATACATATTCTTTCCAGGACACAATATTCTGACTCTATGTAGATTGCTTCAGCCACGTGAATTGTATAATTTCAGTGTAGATGAAGAATATATTTAACCAGATATTAGAATTTAGGCTTTACTAAAATACTGTTAAGGATAGCTTACATGAGAGACTGTTCAGAAACCTGGAAGCTGCCATCTAAATACAGAAGCTAAAAACATTGTTCAGAGGGTAACTTTCAGGTAAGCTAATGTTAATTGGCTTACTATCCATTTCAGCGTAGGTTTTGTCTTTTTTTTTTTTATAAGGACTTGAAACTAAGCCTGAAAACCAGCCACTCTTGCTAGAGTGTCTAGCCAAGTGTTGTATCAGTTTATTGGTCTAGCCAAATTGGTATAATTATACCAGATTACTACTAAACTTTCTGTGGTACAAGCCTTTCAATTTCAGTCCTGCTTTGAACTCAAGAGAGACTTCCATCTGCTTGTGCAAATTCATTAAAAATTGAATCCTTAGATCTGATTCTAAATGCTGACATCCCTTATCTGTTCATTCATTTCTTAGTCTCCCACCACCACCACATTCTTCCTCTGGCCCCCGCAACAGTGGGGAAAAATAGCTATAAATATGGATAGGGTCTTTAGGCTTCAGGGTTTTTTTCCAACGTCTGTGCCTGTGGTTAATTAGGATATTCCTCATATCTGTCAAAGTAGGGTTTAATTGCTGTAAATCTTACGCTTCTTATTTTTAACGTTTTTGAACAGCTGTTACAACAATTTTTTTTATTATTATTTTATAGGCAAATTTAGAAAACAAACCAGTAAATGGCCGCAGACCAGAACTCATGGAATGCAGTATATGTGGTCATGGTGAAAAATACAGGGTGAAAACAAACCAAACAGTACCCATTGAAAATGTGCAGTCTAAGGAGAAAGAAAGAATGACAGGCTTAGAAGCAGAGAAGTGGGCACATAACGAGAAGCCATCTTTTGGTGTCCATGTCAACGGAGATATCCATGGAACTGTGACAGGCAACGAACACTTGAAAAATGCTGAAGACCATGAAAGAACAGTCTCTCCCAGTCAGTTAGCTGAGCCCAAAAAATCATTTGCACAGACCATCAAAAATGGCATAAAAACCCTACATTATTCACCACCGGAAGCAGTTGCTTCGCTGAAAAAAGTACCCGTAGAGGAAAGGACAGATTTGACAAGCAACTCCCATATGCAATGGATGAAGGGTACCAATCTGAATAACATAGTAAACACTCTGACAACTGGCATTGGCTGTGTTCACCCAGAAAAACAAGGAAGTGTTTTAATGAAAGAGGAAAACTGCACTTGCAGCATCTTTGAGGATTCTGATAAGTCAGTTTTGCAGACGGGTTCTATTTCAGATCTGCAAGAAAACTTGTGTTGTCCTCCACTGCCTGAAGAGGAAGTGCATGTAGGGAAGGATGGCTTTAAAGTACCTAAGGCAGAGACACAGCATGAGGATTCTTCACTCCAGCCGACTTTCTTGTCCCTGATTAAAAACAGAAATTTAACTGTAGAGCAGGTTGTAGCTATTGAAGCTTTAACACAATTATCCGAAGCCCCTTTAGAAACAACTTCACCAGCTAAAACTGAAAGTACTGAATGTACAGAAGAAACAACTTCCAACTTGCTCTATAGTTATAAAAGGGATATCTCATCCTCCTTCACATCTTCTGCATTAAAAGAAATCAAAGACACTTACTTACAGAATGAGCAACAGCTCTTGGCTTACTGCGCTCACTCGCAGAAGCAGCTCCCTAATAAGGCAGTGTTATACAATGGCCAAAGTTCAATTTCTGAATGGCGCGATAAACCTGCCAATCTGGCTGGTGAGATGTATAAATTACAGTTATCCTCAAGAGATACCAAAACTTTATCTGACTTAACATCTAATGCAAAATCATTTTCGGGATATTCTACCAAGAAAAGTTATAGTCATGATCCAGTCACCGTTGCACGGTATTGCAATGCTTCACATAATGTCCAGCAAACAAGTAACAACTTGGAAACTCTTGGCCAGTTAGAGCAAAAGCCAACCTGTAATGATTTGAACTTGGAAGCTAGTTCTTTGATTAAAGAAGGAGGAATTCACAGCCAGGATGAAGAGGATGTAGCTACACAACTAACTCAACTTGCAGCGCTAATTGAATCAAACCAGGCAAATCCAGAGCAGAAGGATGACATAAAGGCATCACTGCTTAATCTAATATCACACGAGAGGCAGCCAAAATATAACCAAGATGTGTTGCAGAAAAAAGAATCTGTATTTTTTAGGCATAATTATAGTTCCTTACTGTTAAAGCAAAAACAACCAACAAATAAAAAAGGAAATGCTGTACCATGGAAACCAAGACACAAAAAGAAGCCTCAAGAAGCACGCTATCAACAAAATAATCAAAACCAGCTAGAGCTGTTGTCATGCCAGCATAGCGAGTTACAGGACATTTGGATATCATCAAAACTGCACAAGCTTGGTCAAACCATGCCACAGGACTCCAGAATAGCTCCGTCTGAAAAAAAATCTCCAAGAACCAAGGTACAGAGAGCACTGAATCAAAATACTTTATCATCACAAGAAAAAACTAGATTATTTCTCCCGCAAACGCAGATAAAATTCCATAGATGTTTACCTGAGGTACCGCAAGAGAAAAAAAAAGACAGGTGGTTTGGCTGTGAAGTGGTGAATGAGCAAATCAAAACTGCAGGCTCCGGTGACCCACTAGGCATTGATCCACTGAAAAATGAACTTGTTGCACGTAACCAATATAGCGACCTGTCCTCCCGTAATCCTCTGGCTGTTTCACAGTTGAAAACAGCATCCTTATTGAACAGACCAAGTGAAAACCTACAGATGTTTACAGAAAAATGTAATTCTCAGGTACAGCAAACAGCGAATGTCAGTCAGACTCATCCTTTGCCTCAAACTTTTAATCAGTCTAACCTGAGAGCTAACGAAATGCGAAGTGAAGACAAAACCTATATTCAGCAGGGTGCTGTCGAACAAGAAGTAGATCCGAAGTCGCAGGTGCTGCCTGTTCCCTGTGGTGGGGCCCAGGTACCGGGTTCTGTTGAAGCTCTCAGGAATATGGAGTGTGCGGGCGAAGTGACCGTTCTGACGTCAACCAGTTTGGGTACTGACCACCCACAGAGCACAGGCGACTCAGGGTGTTCTCCAGCAAAAAACACGCTCAGCAGTTTCCTTGAATCACCTATGAAGTTTCTTGATACCCCTACAAAAAATTTAATAGATACGCCTACAAAAAAAGGACAATCTGAATTGCCAACTTGTGACTGTGTTGGTAAGTCATTTTGCTAACTTTTTCCTGTACCTTTCAGGTGGAGCTGTGTTCATGTTGCTTCCTTTAACGTGAGGAAGTGCACTTGATACTACTTAGCTGTTGCAAAAGGATCAGTGCTTTGACATTAGGAAATGGGAGGAAATTATTTTTTCCCTTTCTGTAACTTCTGCCTGGTGTTCTTTGGGCCTGCAGAGCACAGCAGAATTGAGTATTTTTGGTATTGCAACTGGCAGGTTTAAATTCTCTACTTAAATTTAAACCCAGGAGGAAAAGGAGTTTTTCTATTTGTTGTTTTCTCATAGCTGACTTGTGCTCTATGTGAATTTATCTGCAGTATATCAGATTCTGATTTTTGTGGTCTAGAGCTAGTTTTTGCCTGAGATGAGCTGGGCAAAAACTTCCCAGTATATTGTCATTGTTGCCTAAATGCTGTTGGGTAAGCGGCAGGGCATAGTTGTGGGCGGGTCTTGTTACTGTCCCTGTTAGCCCTGATGACCGATGTCAGTTTGCCTTGAAGAGTCTGTGTCAAAGGCTACTAGACGCTTCTCATCGCAGAGAGGAGAGGTGAGGTGGAGTTCAGGTGAGAAGGCCACATACGTAATAATTTGCATTGCAGGATGAGATGTCAGACTGAACTCAGTATTGAGGGTTTTGCAAATACAGCTTGATTGATGGTGTTAGACATGCTGTGTTTTCAGACTATCACAGCGCACAGATGGAAAAACAAGTCAGAGGCTTAACAACAAATTGTACACAGGCAGATTGTTTCATCTTTGCTTTAATGTTCTGAATCAACAGAGTGCTAGTTAAGAGGCCTGGATTATGTTTTCTGTTCTGTAGTATATGACTATCAGTTACTTTTTTTTTTCCTCAGTTCTCCTTTGTCTAAAATGAATTAATAATGTTTTCCTACCAACAAGGATATTAGGAAGCTTACTTAGTCAATACATGCCAGCTTCTGTAATGAAAATTTGTAAAGAATGCAAAATATTACTGTAATTAGGATTACTTTAAAACATAAAGAAAAAATACTAGCAGATTAATAGGGGGAAACAAGTATAAAATAATTTTGATGCCTCAGGAAAAAAATCTGTTACACTTTTTATTCATTACATTTCAGGGACAAATTTTATGTATTGTAATTTAATTTGGAAGATGTTTCTGTAAACCATTTCCAAGCTTACTTGTAATGGTGTAAATAAATTTTTTATGTGCCAACTTATTTTTCTCAACCTTACAGAGCAAATTATAGAGAAGGATGAAGGCCCATATTACACGCACCTCGGGACAGGACCAAGTGTTGCTGCTGTGAGAGAAATAATGGAGAACAGGTGAGAAAAATTCAGCGTTTAATGCTCACAGTATTTTTGACTGTCTAAACAGGAAAGAAGAGCTGGGAGAAATCAGGTGCTATGTTTAGCTTTGTTTTTCTAAACTTTTTGCAGTACTCATTTGTAAAGTGTTTTCCTGTTCAGATGTGCATGAGGTGAGCACCAGCATTTCAGTTCCAAACTCATGTGTCTTTTCTGAGCTCTTTGCAACTTTAGGGTTGAATTTCAAGTGCAGCGTGCTTTTAGGTGCCACTGAAGTCAATAGGAATGACAGAGATCAGCAGCTGGCAGGATTAGGTTTTCTAGCGTCCTACATATGAAGAAGCTGTGGCAAACTGGACAGAAGGGTCACATTAGTGACTAAGTGCACTAGAATTTACATGCAGATAACATTTTCTTCCCCAAATAATGCTTCCTTAGTGTCAGAAGCTTGTTATCAGAAGAGAGATGTCAAAAATCACTCTTGCAAATAGGATTTTAAATTTAAAAGTATTTTTTAGTTTTCTTCTGTTCTTAGTAAAGTAAAAGTAAATTTGTTATTCTTGTTTTATTGAAAACGTTTCCTGTTTTAAAGTGGTCTACAGCAGTTTGTTTTACTCATGAACTTTTTTTAATGCAGGTATGGAGCAAAAGGAAGCGCTGTAAGAATAGAGGTAGTGGTTTATACAGGAAAGGAAGGAAAAAGCTCTCAGGGGTGTCCAATTGCCAAGTGGGTAAGTTTTTATGTTACAGCAGTAAAATTGTTTTGTGTGGCTTTTAAATATCAAATGATGTGTAGTCCTTGAGCTTAAATGTAATCTGATCTTTAACGAAGGTCTGGTTCTTCATTTAATTGATCTACAAGTCTGCCTGAATATGAAGCTAAGGAAAACAATTTTTTTTTTTAAATTTATTTACGATGTGGTGCTATATGTTACGCTGTGGTTTGAATGAGTGTGAAAGAGAGGTGCTTAATAGAGCTAGCAGAGATGACCAAATCAAGAGTAAGAAGACCCTGACAGTGTCTGAAAGTTGGAGTGTCTTGTGAAATATGTTATTGGGAAGCGTGAAAGAGAGAAAAGGAGGGATGGTTGCTTGGGAGAGTTGGAAAACTATCCAGTAACATTTTTTTAAAACCCTTCTCAGTTGTATGAACATCTGAAGAAAAGAGTGTGATGGATGAGGAAGTTCAATCTCATATGCCATGGAGTTCATTGCTATTTTTGCGGAACTGAACTCAGTTTTTGGAAATGTAAATGTTGTGGTGATAGTTTTCACCAAAGTCTTGTCTCACGTTGCTTCATAGGAGCCAGGAAATGAGGTAACAGACACAAGCTCCAGGAGAGAGCTTGGAAAGAATTGATTATCCTTAATCTTTGCTGAAACCACCAAGGGAGGTAAAAAGTAGACTGGAAATCTTGTAAACTGAGTTTTGGAAAATAATAAAAGAACTCAGTTGTTAAAAGAAAAAAATTTTATAGCTGTATTTAGGAATTTCAGACTTGATTGAAAAAACGATGAAGATAACTGTACAGTTGGTAGACTAGCGTTTGTAACTACATTACAAAAATAAGGTTATTACATATTGTACGTGAATGGTATTGCATGCTAAACATCTACTGCTTATGTTTGGAACAGTCAAAATGTGTTTTTCATACTCACTACATAAACTATTTTTCAGAAAGGAATACCGTATGTGCATGTTGCTTCAGATAATATTTAATAACAAATCAGCATCCAAGAAAAAAAGATGGTAAAACTAATTTCATAAACAACTGACCCAAAAAGAATGGAATGATTTTTCTTAGTGTTTCAACTAAATAAAACACTCAGTTATAACAGAGGACAGGAGTTAAAAATCTTACCTTAGAAATAGTTGTGAACAGTTGAAAGGAGGAAGGTGTTTAAAACTAACTCTTAACCTTGATTTTTCTGTTGCCAGTATCAACATACTGTCTTTTGTGTAAAACAGACATGATAGATTTTATTGTATATCTTCATGGCTGTAGGTGTCCAACATTGTGTACGATATGACAGTCAGAAAGCACTCGGATGCATATAGAAAAGGCTGTTTTAAGGTATGGGAACCTGCTCTCCAGTTAGTTAGATTTTCACATTTCTATATGTAAAGTGTTTGTGAGAGTAAGCTTTAATGTTCATTTAACTTAAGTTCCAATCTTGTTTTATGCAGCAGTGACTTTTTTGTGTGTGAGTTCAGACCTAAAGAGAATGAATGCTTTTCCAAGTCTGCTGTCTGTTACTGTGTGACTGTTCAATACAAGAGAGGGAAGGAAATCACTGAAATCTCCACTGTAGAACTGTTTCATCCTGTGTGAAATCCACATTTTGGGACTGGTGTTCTTAATGTATTGCATTAACTTCTCATTGGCGATGCTAATTTTAATCCTTATAACAGAGCATATTTGATTTTTGGCTATGTCCAAAGAAACATAATTGTGAAATTTGTTTGAAAGCATATGGAAAAAGTTTGCTGTGCTCTCTGATAATTGCTGTCACAAGGTTCTGCCAGCTGCACAGAGACTTTCACTTACTCATTTACTTATTCATTCCACTTACACTCTAATGAGTCTTGGGACAGACTCATTTCTGCTTTGCAGATGGACAAGCTATTGCCCTTAGGGCTCCTGAGAGACTTGCTGGTGAGAGCACCACCATGGAGCTCTGCTGAAGCAGATACGATAAGAAAAAATCGAATGTATCTGTTGATCATATTGAACTTTTTTTCCCAATTAATTTTCCCTATTTCCACTAGATAATTTTATCCTATTGGTTCATTAGAAACATTTTAAGATTGAAGGAGGCTTTCTAAAATACCTGTGTCCATACATTCTTCCGTTAGTGACTGCATTTCATAATACCGATTCCCTCCGAAATTGTTTTCGCTTAAGTGGCTCCAAACATGTGCCTGGTGTGTTAAACATTTAGTGAGATAGAATCCTTTCCTCAAATGGAGCTGATGTTTTCTTCCTTAGATTTCGGGTTACCATAAACTTGCAGAATCTTTTCTCTTTCAGTCTTCTTTTGAGAAGAAATAAACATCTGTCTCTTCTGTATTTTTTTCATGTATTATATTTTAGGGTGATTCTTTGTTCCTCTGGATGTGGACAAGAATGCCCCCATTAGTTGAACCTAAATATTATCAGTAAATAATACCTAGGGTTTGAAACCTTATGATAGTTGTATGTGTAAGCATTAGACTGACACCCACATGAGCTAAACTGTGTGCAGCGAAGATGAGCTTGCTATTGTTTTCACTACATGCAGCGGCAAGGAGACAGCTTGACCTCTCATTTTTTTGCATCAGAAATTGTATTGTCTCATTTTTATGTCAAAATAGAATTAATAGAGTTTCGCCAGAGATTTCAAATGTGTGGATATCTGTGTAGGTGATAACTGTGTGATTAGAAAATAACTTCCCATTCTGTGATGTATGCCGGGGTAAATGTACTCTTCTTTTTTTTCTGTTTGGATTTCTTTTGCTTTTTTGCTTTGTCCAAGTTCATCATACTACTTCATAGTAAGTTAAAGAAAAAAAACGTTTGAAGTACTGAAATTACTGGCCTGTCATTCTTAGTAGCCCAATCATGTAATAAAGAGTTTCATGTTACTGTTCATCCCCTATAACCAGCCAGTGATAAGTGACTTGACTCACATTGGTCCCATTGTTTTATCAGTGCTTTAGCTGATAACGGATGTGTTGTGGGTTGTTTTTTTCCTGCTGTCAGTATGCCTGATGGTAAATTACAATTACCTCAATTTATGTGAAATGGTTTATGAATTTGTTAGTTTTTCATGAGTAACTCACTGTAGGCATCATCCTGCTGCACTGAAGTCAAAGATACATGTCACTGACCTCAGAGGAGGTCAGCGTCGGGTCCTAATGTGTTCTGGATTAAACCCATTTCCTATGGGTTCCTTGTCCTGGACGTTGACTTGGATTGACTAAGCTATCATTGCTATCTGTTGTTTTTATTCAGAGTTACAATGTAATTTTTAAGGCTCCAGCTCTGAATAAAGACGAGAGATAAGAAGCGATAAAATCGGCCAGGTCAGGGCGGAGGTCCTTCTTGCCGATATCCTGTCTCCAGCGCTGACCGATAGCAGAAAGGTGTAAGAGCAGGGCAGTTGCCTCCCAGAAGACTCGCGTAGTTTCCAGCAATTCATAGCTCTGTGGTTCCCTAAGCTGGAGGCAGTGTCTTTGTGCTCAGTTGCCTTTTGTAAATGTTGTCATCTTTATTTCTCCTTTTCCTTCCTGTTCTCTTATGCTAGGAGTTAAAATGCTGGCATAATGTTTTCAGCCTTGTGCTCTATTCCGCGTAATTCCTAGCAGTTGTTTTTGCTTTTCCTCTGTTGCAGAGCAGTGATTTGGCATTTTCATAGCGCTTTCTATCATTATGCCAGATTCTCATTCCTGCATGGTAATGGCCAACTCAGAGTCCATCTCTATCTAAAAATAGAATTGTTTTCACCATGTGCATTAAATATGCACATCTACAGTGAATTTTATCTGCCATTTTACTGCCCGCACAGCAGTATGAACTGCTCCTTCATTTGTTTGCAGATTGTGCTTGTCTTCACTACTCTGAATTGCTTAGTGTCATCAAGAAATGTTGTCATCCTTTTATTTACCCGTAACAAACATGCTGAAGAGCACAAGCTTGAACAGAGCTCCCATTGGAGACATACCAGCCTTTGTTTCTTGTCTTTTCACCAATTATTCATGTGTGGTCTTTTGATTTGTCCCAAGACACATTAGGGGTTTTTTTTAAGAGCCTTTACTAAGGGGCCTTACTGAATGGCTTTTGGAAATCTAGAAAGACCCGCAGTATGACTGAGCTGTGACTTCACTTCAGAAAAGTTTATTTGACTTCTCCCTGCGCATCACGCTTTCATGTGTGATCACTGCTTTGCCCCACACAGATACCAGGCTAATGTGATCACTGAATCAACATTTCTTCTAGGGTCTTTTTGCAAAGTGGTATCCTCTGGGTAATCTTCAGGCCCTCTGGTACTAATGTATTATAAATTAAGACAACGCACATCACATTTAATACTTCAGTTGTTTCATCCTTGAGTTTCTTTGGTGGATATCATCTGAACTTGGCAAATTGCTACAGTTTGGGGGGGTGGTTGTTTGGTTTTGGGTTTTTTGTCTCTATTGTCCAATAACCACTTTTGTCAGTGCTTTAGCTTCAGAAAAAAATCCTTGGCTGTACCCTGTGAAGGTTTCTGACGTAGGAATCTTCCCAAACTTTTGGTTTGTGAACACAGCAGAAGTGGGTGTTGCATCTTGAGCCTTTTTTTTTTTTTTCCAAATGCTTGGATGATCTGTTGACCCTTCAGATTCTGTTAGCCTGCTGGTGGCCCTAATTTGCTTGAAAATACAGTATTATGGGGCTTTTATGCCTTTTGCAAGTAGTTTCTCAAACTCTTTCATTTCTGTACTGTCTGCCCTTTTGGGGTTTTACATTTATAACTTTACAGATCTTTATTATCTTTTCTGTAGTGTTGGTTGTATATTAGTAGGATATATAAATAATAAAAAAAATAGGGGTGGATAAAAAACCCAATTACAAATACTTCTAAAATACAGTTAAATTTGAAATTGCAAATCTGAAATTACAGTCCTGTACAGACCTGAACCTAGTATTAGCCACTGAAATTAATCAATTTTTTAAAAGTAATGCTTAGATAACTCACTGTTATAACTAAG